GACTGCAAACGGTGAGCCAAGCAGAAGGGGGGGCCACCTCGCAAGAGGAAGAGGACGCCGACGGAATGAGCGAGAGGATGCGCGGCTCAAAAGAGGCACACAACCATGACCACCGGAGTTCGGTTCCACGCCCCACCTGAGAGGAGGAAGGAGTGGAGAGGCCTGAAGACACACCAGAGGGTGAACATGACCAAGAGCCTGCAAGGGAAAGAGACCAACTCGACGGAAGTCACTGCTGAGCAGTCAAAGACTGCAGAGACACGGCACTGAAACGCCAGATTCCCGCTGAACAATTAAGCAACACCACCACTCATAACTCATAAACATCGCCAGCTCACACACACACACACACACACACAGAAGACCCATGAAGCTGTGGATAGTTGAACTATCCAGTTTGCCTGCAGTGTATAGTTTTCATGTTTGCGGACCTGCAGGGTGATGTGAGTAGTTTTAAGGGGGTTTGGAGGCATCTCCAAACATTTGTGTTTGCACATGAAGAAAAGACTCTTTCTTACTCACACAGACGGAGAGAGAGAGAAGAGAGTGAGAGAGAGAAGAGAGAGCAGAGGACGGCATGGCACTCGGTCCGAACTAAGGGGAGGGCTTAAAGCACATTTTGGGGATTTCTGTGCACTCCTGAGTCAGGATCGGTGTATTTTTAACGGAGCGCGTGTAAAAGGCGCGCAACAGCAAACGTTTTTGTACTCATTCTGATTGGTTTGTCAGCGCAGAAGACACACACATTACGACAACATACAAATAACACCACCGCTGCTGCTGCGACCTTTTTTTTTTTTTTTTTTTTCCACCTTGTGAGGTATTTTAAAAGACCTGCCCGTGTTTTGGGTGTTGGTGGTGGCTGGTCATCTTGCATCTGTGGAACACGAAATACAATTGCAGTCACAGTACGAGACACAGTTAGCTGACGTCTGTCTGTAATGTACCATGTCTTTTTGACATTGCATGCAGAGGCATTAGCGGTTACTTGCCACCTAAGAAACTCCAGTTGGGTAGAACGTGCTGTGTGTGGTGGGTTCCTGACTGATTCAGCCAATCGTAGTGTGTGTGTCTGTGTGTGTGTGTGTGTGTGTTGTGTTCTACAAACTACAATTTGTGTTTAATTTCTTCTGTGTTCCACAATGTAAAGTAAATGATTTCTTTGCTTTCCCCATTTACTAATTATTGTCAACATTTGTATAAATAATCTGCTAGCAGAAACCTCTTTCTCTTCGTCCTCCTCCTCCGTGATGGAGGCGTCTGGTCTCTGGAGGGAGTGTGTCGCGGGAGTGTGGCTGGTGCAGGGGTGCAGGTGCGGTGAGTCAGCGGGGGGCAGCAGCGTCAGTGACTCCACGCTGAGGGCGTCTGCGTTGTTGTCGGTGAGGAGGGAGATGGTGGGCTGGGACGCCGGGGTGAGGCTCGGGGCCAGGGCGGGAGCCGTGACTGCAGCCGAGGGAGTAGAGGAGACTTGCATTACTTGTCCACCTCCACCTTCCCCTTCTCCGCCTGAGGAGGAGGGCGGGGTGTGCTCCAAAAACGTACCATCATCTAGAGGAGAGGAGAGAGTGAGGCAGGTGAGCTCAGAGGGAGATACACATTTTTAAGGTTTCTGGTGTGAAATGATGTGACTTTACTTTAATAAAGGCTTCAAAAAATGTTTGTTCGGATATGATAATGTTGATTTTCTGCACAGAGATGCTCTAAAGGGGTCAAAAATAATGTAGCTTCCAATAAAATGTACTGTGAGAAAACAACGTACCATGATATGCAACTGAATTGTGAAACAAGTTCATTTATGTAATATTTCAAGCTGGTGAAATACCACAATATTTCCTAATCTCAGTAGAAAGTCCTTTGCCAAAAACATAGCTCAGAATTTCATGATAACACAGACACACACAGGAGAACTTTATGTAGCTACTACAGGGATCTATGCAGGTAGGAAGTGCCACACACTCATATGGACAGACAGAGGCAGACTGACGACTGAGCAGCAGAGCGCAGGGTGTTCAGCAAGTACCTCCTTTTATTCAGAATTAGAAACAGGTTTATTGCCAAGTAGGCTTCACATACAAGGAATTTACCTTGTATGGGAAAACCTGTGGTGTTGCATAATGGTTAAAATATAGTAAGAAACTGAAACTGTAGCACTGTAAAAGTAAGAGTCATAAATATAAAATAGACATTTACTTAAATATGTAAAATATATATTCGAAAATACATTGATAAAATGAATGGAATATGCAAAAAATATAGACTAAAGCATGTGCAAATGTACAGTTTATAATGTGCAATGTGGGGAAATAAAAACCTAGAGAAAAAGAGGTACAGGGTGGACAAACTGCACAGGAAGGTTAAAGTAGCAGCAGCAACAGCAGTTGTATTAGTAGAACATTTACAACATAACCCACGTACTATGATGTAAACCACTATGTGAGCATACTTACATTGTAAGAGTGTAATGGTGCAGTATGAAAGATACAACGAAACTGGTTTACAATAATCAATGTCAGATCTGCAAACACATTTTCATTTTCATCAACCCATCATACTCCAACCCTAACCTATACCCTAATCCTAACCTTCCCAATACCTCTTTCTTCTGTCGTTTACCTGCTTTTGTATTCCGTTTACTTGCGTTCAGGTGAGTTAAAGTGAAACTGCTTCAAACAAGTCTTTGTTTACGCACGTACTATATCACCTATAGTAAGAATGACCTGAATGCACTAGTACAGGTTCTTTGGAGAACACAATGTTATTGTTTACATTGGCAAAGGAACACCACAAGCAGACGCCTACTCCATATATATTTATATACATATGATGCTTATGTACCCTGGGTATATACCAACAGCTCGACTGACACCTTGTGCAAACTAATGTGGTTTCTGTGGCATGTTTGTTCATATGTACCTCACCCAATACTCTACACGTAAAAGGATGTGTGTGCTGTATAGTGCACATATACTGTATTGACAACACCTCAGTTTCAAGAGTCTGGCTACGTTATACAGTTATTCCGTTTTTACAATATAATCCAACATGTGCGTTTTATAATATACCGTATGAGCTTCTTTATGCATGTATTTATGTATGTGGGGAATGTGGACGTGCTGTGTGTGAGCTACCTGTGGGGCTCTGAGCTGATATAGTGCTTGCGGTAACAGAGTCACATCTTCCTGTGCTCCCACTCCCACTGGAGGGAGGCGAGGGGGAGGAGAGGGGCGAGGGACTGTGCTGCGACACACAGTGAGCCACTGCGAAACCTGGAGATGGCGCACATGAACATAGACACACACGAACAGACACACGCATGTGTTACCATGGCTGGGAAGTTATTTGCCCGACCAATATCTAGTCCTAGCATCCTAATTTTTGTTGATGAATGTCGCCTTTTCAATCGTATTTTAGCCATCGATGTACAAGAAAAGATGTGCCTCGTGTGAGCTTCCGTTTTTTTTTGTGTGTAGTTTTGTAACCTTATGTTTGCTTTTAAATTTACCTAATTCTGAGAGATCGACTTAAAATGTATTTACAATATTGCTTAAATTTACCTGACACTAACACACACCTAACACTGAAACAAACAAACTCTGAAGTAGTGTACAGACTAAAGCAGTTATGAATACTAATCAGAAAAACATAATTACTTTTGTTGACCTTTAAAGTGGCTATAAATACATTTCAATAAATGTTGACTCAAACAGAAGCTTGCTATCATTTTCACATTGACGGATTTAGGAACTCTGCATTTGAAAGTTATTTCCAGAGCGGCAGCAGGTGTCCTTGCTCAGTCAGACAAAGAGTCCTATTCAGGGACTGCAGCAGGTAATATAACCTGCGCTTAAGGGTCTAGCAGGAACAGATGAGGCAACAGACAAAAGGGAACCTAAGGTTAAACGAACAAACATGGTATTTCGCATAAAATAAAATGCATGGATTTTAAAAATGAAAGCAATGGTAGGGGAGTTTTCAACTGTATTCTCAGGAGTCTTATTTCTACACAAAGCCTCTGATCTTTGTCTCCTGATAGGAACAAGATTGACTCACTGTTAGACTTCTGCACTAAAGATCAAATCACAAACCCATTTCCACAGATATAATCACTATTTCTCTCAACTTTCTAAAAAAGTTTTCTCTAAGACTCAAAAAGAATGGTGTTCTATCATTGATTATTAAAATATAAAGTATGCAGTGTGTGTCAAACACGGGTACTGTCGTTGCTTTATGATGTTTGTATAATCCTTCAGATCCTTTTAGTGTCTACTGTGTCTCGATATAAAGCAAGATACATTTCTGGATCTCCAGAGCAGTGTACAGACTAAAGCAGCTATATGTTGGCAGTGGACCTTGGTCACCTGGTACTTTATCGACGGAGCCGAAGACCGATCTGTTTGCTGTGGGGTCGTTGGGCGCCCGTCTGGACTGCTCGTAGAATCGGAAAGGCAGGCCGCTGGGTGAAGCGTTGGCAGTCTGCCCGAAACCCAGCACCTCCGTTGCGCTGGGCTGCACAGGTAGGTCCAACAGAGCTGCGTACAGAGGAAGCAAAGAGTGTAAGAGGGATAGAAACATAGCACCATTAAAGCATCCCACTCTGGGACCTGTTGTGAGACTACAGAGAACGTAGCCTGCCTTGTGTCATAGAAGAGGACTAAACTCAGAGGAGAGCGGGCTTTGGATGGGGTTTGGCAGGGTTCACATCCTCCTTGGCTTTGACTGCATTGGCAAGATTTCAGATATCTTGTTTCTACTTCTATGTGCAATTCTAACTGGGACTGGGAGTATAAGTGACTGATGGGTAAATCCATCCAAGTATTTGCAGCACAAAACGATTCTTGATTACTTTTCTGTGTGACTCCACAAAAATGAGGAGCGGCCATTTTGGCCAGTAGATGAAATATGCATTGGGACATATTTACAAAATAGTTTAGACATTTCATTGTGAGGTCTTTGTGTTTTATTTAAAGCACCTGAGAAAGAGTACAGCAGTCGGGTAGACTTAACTTTCAGATCACCAACGTTAGTTGTGGTTGAAAAATTTGAATATCATGGATGACAGGAAAAGGGAACAAAACTGATAACTCAAGGAAATTGAGAAAGTAACATTTTGAAAGTAATTAATGAAATAAATAGATTTGAAGGACAAGAGAAGGACACTGATTCTGGGAACTGACTGATGCTATGAAGCTCTTAATACAGAGATTAGTGGTCACTTCTGTTGGAGAGTAGCATATATTTTGATTGTGGTTTTTAAGTAGACTTAATCCTTTTGTTGAAGATCTTGGAGGCTTGCTGTGGTTGCACATTACTGCTGACTCGATTCGATTTGGCACTGTTTATTGTCAGTGTTGAGTAGCAGTTTTTAAGTGTTCCATTTTTCTCTGAGTCATTTCTGTTTAACTGATTTCTTGTAAAAACGTCTGTTCTGCACTCAAAAGTAGCTTCTGAAAGACTTTCAGCCGTCCTGTGCAAAAAGTAAATGGGTCATTTTGACCTCCAAAGCGTGAGGCTGAAGCCTTAAAAGGCTTCCTGTATTCTCACCCGCAATCCTCTGCATCTTCATGCGTCGGGCCTGGATGCGACCCTTAGCCAACCTCTGCTTGGCGATGATGCAGCGGATGTGGTCGGCGAAGATGAAGTTGGCCTGCAGGATGGGCAGAGGCTTGGCGTGGGGGTTGGAACTCGGCTTATGGATGACTATGTTCAGTGCTCTGCTGTCATCTTCAACTCCAGACACCTGCATGTCCTGTTGAGAGAGGGAGGGATGAAGAAAGAGAGAGAGAGAGAGGGTGGTGAGAGGTAAAGAAAGAGGAAAACAGAGAATGTGAAGAATGAAAAGGTAAAAGAAAATTAGAATAAAACCGTGGGACAACGACGGATAAAGACAGACAGATAGAAAATGAGTTGAGAAACAGATAAATGCGCCTTAAATGACCAAAGTTACATTCACAGGTTCACACCCAAAAACAGTAGCTAACATGACATTCGAAATAAGGAAGGAAGCATTATAGTAACAAGATTCAAAGTATGTGGGAAAACACTTTCACAATAGAATACCGTATGTATTCTCCAATGCAGATCCAGCAACCAGTACACAGCATGTAAGCATGTTTACACTTAAAATACATAGAAGTGACAGTAAAGTATGTTATGCCATGATATAATTCTAGCATTTCTCCAGTGAAAATGATATAAAGGGCTCGGGAAACAACAAAACCAACATCTGATAAATGAAGAAGGGAAAAGAAGAGAAATAGGAAGGACAAATCGGTGGCAGTGGAGAAAAGACTAAGAAAAAAAGGAATGGGACAAAGAAACAATAATGTTTACAAAGCATATGTACTTGCAGTAAAAAGCTAGGGGGAAACAGCTAAATAAAACAATAAAAAAACAGGAACACACAAATGTGTTTTCAATAGCACTCTTTACTCTTTTGCACTTTAGCTCTTTAAGACACATCCACACAGACACGACATCACTTTTCTCTTACTTGCAGAAGGCCAGCAAACTTGACTACACCCCATCCAAGGCGTTTAGTTTCTGGTTCGACAAGACTCATCTGGTACACATCTACAGCGAGGAACCTCTGGGCCTGGCCGCCTTCTTTACTAACCACCATACAGGCTATAAGGTCGCTGTTATCTGAAAAAGATGGACAGATATGACCGTTAATGTATTGCTACAGTGTGTAATTCAGGTAGAGGTAGAATAGAATAGGTTCCTCATATCTGTCTGTGATCTTTACCAAACACATTGTCACTTGTTAGGACCAATGTTCTGCATTCAAGACATATGAAGTATGCTGTTTGCATAACACTAACAGCTAGAGCAAGAATGATTCTTCAAATTCTGACAGGTAGTGACACTACAGGAAAAGTCAGAGTGCAAAAGTTATTACATTTCTGTACCATCACGACAATAATCCAAAAGTCAGGGGATCACTTTAATCAATGGGATTCATCTGCTGCGTCCTATGAGTGTTTGTATAAAATGTAGGCTAATCCATGTGATAGATTGAGATATTCTAGTTAGGACAAAAGTGGCGGAACACAGTGTTACTCTGATAGATGACTTACTAAAATGAGCACTGTAGCTTTAACAGTCTACTTCTGTTTTATGTTACAAATGAATACAATGATTCAACTTCTTCAAAAAAAAAGCCTTGGTGCAAAACACAAATATCAAATATAACCATCTAAAGAAAAAAATAAAAACTTCCTTAAAGTGTACAGTAATACTACCCCTGAAAAATGACCTGTTAGTTATAAACTGTTCCTAATTAAGTGTAGTTATGTGTTTTACTGCAGAGCTGTATTTGATTTTTATACCAACCAAAATAATGTACACTATAAACACACTGATAGAGCAGGCAGACAGACGCACAGTCAAAACAGACAGACTGCTACACACTTTTAAAGGACAGAGACGCTTTTCTCCCACACGTCTAGGAGGACGATGAAGAGACGATAAGCCTACATCTCAGCAGCTTCACTTCAGTTTACCACAAAAGCTACTGCAAAGCAAACAAGTAATATCACACTGACGGTACAGCCCCACTAATGTCATAGTCTTACTCATACCACTTTATATTTATGTTACTTCATTTCTTATTCTCAAGAATCCTGGCCAATCCAACTTTAAACTGGAATGTGACTAATGCTATACATGTGAAATCATTTGGAAGTCATTGAGTATCCATTTTGTTTGTTTAAGTTGGCCCTTCAGTGCAGTAGTAGCGTTTCTTCTGGTGAAATACTATTTTTAATTACTTTTTTTTTTTCTCAAGGTCAGACAGCTGTTGATGCACACAGTGGCTTTTAGTGTAAATCATACACGTGGGGTTCTATTTATATGACTTTCACACTAACCCATATTAATAGATGAAAATGGTGAGCAGTGAAAAGTACCTGCAGCTGGAGAGGTAGTCCCCGATTTACCATTGCAGAGAAGGGACGTCAACGGGCAAATGGTCAGAGAAATTAGGGGAAGTTTGATAGTTTGAATCCCCGGACCAGCTGGGAAAAAACCCTCCCACCCCCAACTTCCACTTGACTTCTGACTGCAGAGGATTTGGGTGGGTCAACTTTCCTGGTCAAAAAGGCTGAAAATGTGGGACCTTTCACAGACATGGTGATCATTGACACAGTGACAGTTTCAAGCACTGAATTTGTTTTCGAAGTACTTTCATCCAAAACATTGAATTGCAGGGAAACACCTTTCTCTGAAAGTTTCATGAGGTAAACAGTGTTTCCACGTATTAGTCAAGTGAATTTTTAGGTCCACTGCTCCTCTCAGAAGAAGGAAGTAAAGAACTATATATACATAACAAAACTAATACTAAACTAATGGAATATTGATGTTTCAGCAAATAAAATGGTTATTTCGGTTCCGAAGGCTGTCATCATATATCAGGCCAGTTTTGCCATCATAAAGTATTCAGCCGTTCTTCAGAAATGTGGTTCTTTTATTCACTTTAAAAAAAAAAAGGATGACTAAAGTAAGACACCTTCTGCTCTCCCTGTTTTAACAACAACAGCAGTACCATTGAGCAAAATAAATGTTCAGTAAAAAGGGCCAGACAACAGTGCAGCAAGCAGCTGACAGCCTTAAATGCTTGTATTCACATTCACATTCCCTGCAAATATTCCCTTGAGCTATCAAGTGTCCCTAATCAACCTGCCAGCTTGAACAAACATTACTGCAGGCAGACAATGGCGTGACAGTATTCACTTGTGTGAACAACATGTGACTTAAGTTTAGTTAAACCTCAAATCTCTTGAGTATTTCAACCCCAAAAGCTCAGTAGACTATATAACACATCAGTGTCATCAGATGTTTCAACAATTATTTCTCACTTTCAACTAATTACAAGGACCAAAAACAACTCAAAAAACAATCACGGAAAATCCAAGGAGGTGTTCATAATTTTATGAAGCCACTGTGAAATGAATCTTACTACGTAATAAATTAGTAATTTAACAATAAACTCCACTGCTGCACTCTTCTGCAGAACTTCCATACTCTAGAACAGCATCAACGTGAATGTCCCTTGAGTCACACATGTATGCAATCTGACTAGGTGCCCTTCCTCCAACGCACTTCTACACGTATGGCAATGTTCCCGTTGATGGGAATGCAACATGGCCCCGCCCTTGCAATACCATCTCTGCAACCACAATGCTCATACTCTTCTGACCCAATAAGAATGTGCAGACATGTGTGAGTTACCAGAGGATGTGGTGAAATGGAGTGGTGACAGGCTTTTGGTCAGAAAAAGAGTTTGTGGGTGAAAGGTTGCAGGTTTAAATCCCCCAACTTGTGAGGAAAAACCATTCCGCTCGCCACGATTACTCTGTATGAGTGTGTTCTTAGTCAACCACCATACGTAAATGAAAGTGACAGTGACTTAGTAAAAACTAGAATAACTGTCTCACAGTTGAATGCCTTCATCGATTGGTGGAATGGAAGATATCACTATATTGATAGATCAATAAAAAACTGGAATGGACACCCAACACTGAAGGGCTTTTCAGGAAGGAGCAGACTGTTCTGAGGAGACTCAGGGTTAGAAATTGATTTCACTTGACTTTGTTGAGTTATAGTTTTAAGGTGGGCACCCAAGATTAATGTCACCAATTCAGTACCTGACCAAATATGAATGTCATTATCTCCCCTTCCAAAAAATGGCCAATTAAAAGTGTTGTTGCAGAACGATATGTCACAGTGAAGCTGACCGTTTAGCCTTTTTGGATATAAATAGCCATCACTTCATCATTTTATCCTATTAGACCAGACATTTGTGCAAAACATTGTCATAATTAGCATATAAATACTTGAGTTATGGCCATAAACGTGTTTTGTGAGGTCACCGTGACCCTTGATCTTTCACCACCAAATTCTAATCAGTTTATCCTTGAGTCCAAGTGGACATTTTTGCCAAATTTAAAGAAATTTCTTCCAGGCGTTCCTGAGATATTGTGATCGCGAGAATGGGTCAGACGGACGGACAAACTGAAAATATAATGCATCCGGCCATGGCTGTAAAAAAGTGAGAACAACAAGGAAATCGTTTTTTTAAATCACACATGGGTAGAGTTAAATGCAATATAAATAATCATTGATACCAAACAAAGATTGGTTAAATTATCTTTTCAAGCGACAAGAAGTTACTGGAAGCCATGGCCCAACTGATATGATGATGGTTATCATTACCTAAATCTGCCACAGGCTCTTTTGGCAGGCATTTGGAATCATGAAAACAGCCACAGTTTCCATCCATTTGTCAAGAGATTTTTTCAAGATAACCAACCCCCATCCCAAAAGAAGAAATTAAGAAAACATGTTTTCCCCCCATCACCAGGGTTTACGAAAATGAAAGTAGATCTTTCACCAAAAAACGCACCGATCACAAAAAGTATTTCATAAATTAAAACTAGGTCAGCTGTCAAATATGTATGAAGACAAAAATGGATTAAAAAAAATGGAATTGGCAACACAACAATGAAAAGCATTTCAGTATCTGAAGGCACACTGCTGTGTCACTGGTTTGATCCCTTCATCAGGCCACTTTTCTCAGGATAAAGTCAATAATCGTTCAGCGAATGTGTTTCCAAAATGTACTGAAACTGCAGCTCAGTCATCACAGATGATATGATAACCCTGAAAGGCTATGACTACCTAAATTTACCACAGCCGGTACAGTCATCAAAGTAAACTACCCAGTGGAATTTACAATGTGCTCTTCTCTTTATATAAAATTCTAAGTAATTTTAAATGGTATATATGCGGCCATTTTAATCATTTGAAATCGCAAATACTCCTAAAAGAAAACAAAACATAAAACGTTTTACTTGTACAGTGGTGCAAGTAATATCTTTTACAAAAGTGTGTAATTTTTTTTTGACTGATTGGTATAGAAAAAGACGGACAGAAGAACAGAGATGGTGCAAAGAAATTGTAAAAGGGGAAAAGAAAGCAGACAGAAAAGGAGGTTTTCTTGAATTGCATCTTAAGATACACCTAATATAGATACTGTATGACACACTATCTGCTTTGAGGAATTTGTGGTGAACCTTACTTTCTTTCTGAGACGTTATGCTTATTCAAATAAAGTTTAAAATGAGGGAATACATTTGAAATAAGGAAGATGGGCTTCCTGTCTATTATCCAACTCTCTATTCTCAGAATGAAACCATGAGTTAAACAGTATACAGTATTAGACTGAAATGCTTAAGTTGTATAGGGCAGTGGTAAACAAACTACAACACTAATATAAATATATCAAACAAACATCTAACCCTGGATAGAAGACTACGATTCACACTCACATTTAAACCAACAAGCAATTTAAAGTCAACAGTTCATCTAACCTGCACGACTTGGACTTGGGATCGAAATGTCAGCGCCAACTATACTAACTTAATTCCACTGAGACAGAAGCAGAAGACAGTGAGGCTTCTTATTCGATTGTTCTTGGGTGGTGAACAGTATCTGACTGAATCACACAATAACCAAGTGGAATTAAATAATAATGTCATGACAGCAACAGTGTAGGTTGTATGTCCTTAATCTATTCCAAAACAAGGTTATCTTGATATCTGATGATTATTTGGAAAGAACACTCAGTTCCAAGTAAAATTAAAAAGTAGTTATGATTATATTTCCTAAAGGTCAGGAGCCCTGCAAATCACACAAACAAATCTCCTCAAGATAAGAAGATATAAAAGGGTAGGACTGCAGTCATTTAACAGTTTGGAAATACTGGAATTTGTTCACAGGAATACAGAGAATAAAAATGAGAACTAGGCTTAACCTTCAATACAATTGAGCGAGGCACCCTGGTAAAGCCTAGAGTTCATGATGGTATAAGGTAGCATATTTACATCTGTATTGTTCATCACAACTTCAGCATCAAGGAGCCACAAATAAGTGCAATTCTCATGCCAAAAAAAGGATGCACAGATTTGCAAATCTTGTGCACTGCGTGTGTGACAGTGTCATCGCTCCTGTTCACATCACTGTGCAAATGTATTTGTGATATCCTGCAAGGCAAAGCTAACCACGTGCAAGTTTCCATAACATCTACACACCTGTATACAGTAAGAGAAGAGTGTTCAGGTTACTTCAGTGTGTGGGAAGCTGTGTGCGTACATTCTCGTTTCTGTACGCTCGTCTCTGCGCCGCTGTGGTTGTGAATGTTTGCTTGTGTCTAGATACTGTTAACACTCTTCTCATACATCTCTGTTATAGATCGCAGAGAGTATTAGCCTTTTAGAAAAGAGAGTGGATAACTAGGGGGTGGTTAGAATTGTTGTTTTCTCCTGCTCTGTAATTCTCAGTCCTTGACTCTCTTAGGTTATATTTTAATTGAACTAAATAGACTTAATTTAGTCTCTTGTGTTGTCCTTGCACCCTCTGATGTTTGACTCAAAGTGAAAAGGGATAAATGAACACATCAGCTTTCCTGCGGCCTGTGGACTAGTTTTGTACCGTATACAGTATGCCTCTACGTTTCTTTGTGTGTGTGTGTCTTACTGAGGTCTAAGACGTCGTCTGTCTTGATGAGGTCTTCAGGTCTGGTCAGAGGCAGCTGCGTTTCAGGTTCTCCCTGTAGCTGAAGCGATAAGGACCGCAACATGAAGAACACACGGATCGCCTGTAGAGAAAGTGTAGAGGTTTCACACAAACACACACAAACCGTTAGTCAGGGCTCCTAAAAATACTGTGACATCAATCATACAGTGTATTTAACACTGTCAGAATGAGGCTGAAACATCTGCCCTCAAGAGGAAAACTCATATTTCATTTACAATCCTTTATTGATTTCAGACGTAAGTGTTAAATGCAATGGGGAATGAGCTTGGTCGTGTGTGTGTGTGTGTGTGGGCATACTCTGCGTGTCTTCTCCACATCCCCACAGGGCAGTCTCTTGACAAAGTCGATGCCAGTCAGAGGGGTACCGGTGGGTGGCAGCAGTACTGAGGCATCCATCATTAGATACTCCACATTCAGTGGTTTACTCTGCAACATACACACATACGGACATGCCCATGTGCAGCACCCAGACAGACATGAGTAACATCAAATCAACGATAATCTCAGTTAAATCATGTTTCATTTTACAAGGGAAAACAAACCAACTAACCGTCATGCTCCTGTATTCATCTTCAAACATGTCCAGAAAGATCTCCTCACCCTGCCATGACATAATAAAATTGGAAGCCAGTTAAAATAAGCCAGAGAGGAATGTGGCCTCTGCAGTGAACTTGGACTTGGGTGAACTTTGATACTGAGTTCAGCTTCTTTTTGCATGAAACTCAGCTGTGAAAATGCCAGTATGCATAAAAGCAGAAATAAGCAAATGCATCTTTTATGTCCAATTATGTAACTCTACTGTATGTACACACTGTTCTGAATTGTAAACACATCTTACTTCTTCTTTCTTGTTTTGGCATCATATTGGAACAGTGCAAAGCAGCCACTCACTAGAAGACTGTAATGTTTGTTTAGATAGTGACAGTAGAAAGCCAGAGACAAAACATGGAAATTGCAATAGGCTCACAGACAAAGGTCTCCCCAGGCCGCAAGGGTGGTATATAATCGGTTATATAACCACAATCATTTCCAATTAAAAAAATCTGATTTGTGCTTATAATTATATATTAATATATATATATAGTATTATCACGGCTATTATATATGTTATGAGTTAGTAGTGGGCTATATATAGTGAATCACTAGTACGCGCCGTATAGTGGGTAGGTAGTATAATATGTGAGTATATATCATGAATGTGATAAGGAGATTTTTTTACAGTTCTTGCGGCCGTTATTAATGAGCTGTTGCCAGAATGTTACAATTCTCTGTTACTCATTGAAGCAGCGATGTATGCAGTCACAGAAGGAAGCTGACATTAATGAACCGAAAAAATCTTGGAGTGAGCTAAAGAACACTTCCGCCTGGCAGAACAGGGTGATACGACGACTCATTACAAATGTGAGTCCGCAGGGAACAGAGTAGAATTGTGTGTCTGGGGCGAATAAAATCGCGTTTCGCTCTCTCAGGGGGCAGAAGCACGGGGTCGGTAAACCGCAGCGCTACTCTCAGTATCCCTCATCATGATAGCCCCTCCGGCCTCAGGGCTGCTCTGAAAAAGGGTTTATTTGGGTGTGAGAAGGCGCTTTCGGGTGGTCATTTTGCTTGTATGAAAAGTGCTGTACAAATAAAGTCTGATTGATTGACTGATAAATCACCACAGGGGAAATTCCTTCACCCAGACAGCCATGCTCCTTCCTAAAAAAAAATTCAGGATCTCAGAATATGAAAATTTTGTTTTCCTGCTGCACAAAAAATGTCTCCTACTCCACTGTAAAGCCCCGTCTCAGTGTATGTGCAGCGGTGGCTTCAAGTTTCTACATCCCACTTGCAAATTGTACCAGATTTGACTCACAAATCATGCTTTCCCCTTAAATATCTAATTTAAAGAAAAACATATTTTGAGTGGACACAGAGTTTAACCAGCTACGGGTGTGTCATGAAAACATTATGACTGATCCAGATTTCCTCTTTTGTGTTTTCCACCTTGTGGCCATAATCGCATGTTGATATCATACACTCAGCTGACTCATCTGCCTGTGCACGTCTATGCATGCAGAGTGTAAAACCAGTGTATGGAAGTATACACACTCTCACGCCACTGTCAGATAACAATCCGTTTCTGTGGAGTTGATGCTGTGCGTGTTCTTTTTGGGTGTGTGTGAGTGTATGGCCATATGTCCTCCCAGTATAACCACATTCTCCTATTGCTGCATGTAATAGATGAATGACTTACTAAAAAAAGGACTGCTTATTATCTGGAAACTGTTGCAGGCCCCTTTCAACAAAACAACATACTCCCAGCGCTGTGCACAAATCCATCACATCACCCATATTAATGATTTCGGGAGGGGGAGAGCAATTCTTAAATGATGTCCCATCACTGAAATGATGTTGATGTTGTGAACCAAAACAGGAAATGCTGGACAGATAAGACAGTTTGTTGGATATGCACAGTTAACGGACAGGACATTGATTGTGATGATGTACACACTCATCCTCAGTTCATTGTGTTCATCTAACCACCCTGACATGTCTAGGCTACTTTTATTAATGCAAGCACATCTTCATTTTGAGGGAGACCACTCAACTGACACAACGCCTACACTATGAAAGTGTTCTTGAACTGATGAACACAGTGTTAAATGGAATTGCAGTCGTGAGGTTTTATGAAATTAAAAAAAACTAATTTAATGAGTAAGGAGCAACATTATTTACAAGAGGATTGTATCATTAATTTCTCAGTTACAAAACATCCAACATTTTCTCTTGCTTCGTTGTAAGGTTAATTTAATCAAAAGGAGATTCATATTTTTTTTAATTATTTAAACATTTTATTTAATAAAATCGTCATTTAAACTTTGTTTCCACTTCTTAAAGACAGCAGCTTTACTGTATTACTGTGTCACTGCACTGTGATCCTGATGAATATCTTTATGAACTGTAGATGTTTGAGAGGAAACATTATTTAAGGCAGGATTTGAAAATCTGTTTAAGCCTTTATTTTCAGCTGCTGGGAGTTCCAGTTTCGAAACAAAAAGCCAGTTAACAAGAGAAAAAACTACTATTGGTCATTTATAACCATGTTTTTTTTTTTTTTTAAAATCAGAAAAAATATTTTTCAATGTGGTTTGGAGTCAGCACGTTAATCACAATGACATTTTCCTGAATTCTGAAATACAACTTTTCAGCCAAACATGTGACTAATTCCAAAACTGATGCGATAGTTAAAGAGAAACAGAAAGCAGACTGCACTGAACTTTAGCCTAAGTGTGTAAATGTGCCATTGTATAAAACATTGAAAACACTTTCAGTTTTGCACATTCAAGGAAATAGTTTCAGTTATTATCAGTGGATACACTCACGTACATAAACGTCCACGCAAATGACATACAAAAGAGGCTTAACGCGGTTCTCAAGAAGAAATGGTTGTTCTGTTGTCTGTCTGTCTGTACTTTGTTTTTCAATTGTTTCTTTCCTTAATTATTCTCCCACTGTCTGCTTCCCCACCCAAGTATCATGTTATGACAGGAATCCTATTGTGCTACTGCAGCCAGTAAAATGCAAAACATTTTGCATTAATATAATTTCATTACACAATGTCTGCTTGTCTGCATGTTTTGTCTGTCTGCTGTCCCTTAACTTGTCCTTTATACTTTGTCTGTGTCAATATACTGCATATGCATATGTGTGGGTAGATGGGAGAGAAATGACTTATTTTTGTAAGTTATTGGTGCATGTGTGTGTGTGTGTGAGAATTGGGTAGAGTCTGGTTATCTTGTTATCTTGTTTCTGTGCGTTACTGCATATACTCACCTTGTAGAATCGCCGCAATAAATGGAGACTTTCTTCTCTAGCACCCTGGAAACACAAACATGAAGTATAAACAGTATGTTGCAAATACAGTCTGAACTCGTTAAACATACACACAAACAAAATACAAACATATCTTCATTAAATTTATATTTTCAAACAATGAACAAATAAGAAACTAATTGTTGTGTGTGATATTCTGTTGGTTATAAAAATCTGCGTTTAACTAATCACTGCGTTATTTGAGGAGCTGAAAAAACGTAAATATTGCTAGAAGAAAATGGAGTAGGCAGAAGGACATGTATTTTACCAACTGCTACACCTTTCCACTTAACATAATACAACAGTAAATAATTCATACAAACAAATCTTGATCTTAACAAAGCAAATTCATTCTAAAAACATGAATTGCTAATTTAAAGTTAATTGCTCCCCAACAAGCTTCACTAATTTAAATCTGTGCAACCTCATCTTTAACCTTGAACATAAACTTGCTCTACAGAAACACATCACCACAATTCACAGTATTGCGAATAACAATATAAGCAGCTGCTGAAAATACACTTAAGTGCTCCAGTGTTTAATTCAGAACAAAGGCACAATTAGTCTTACTAGGAGATACTTAACTTAACACGTAATTCCAAGGCATATTGTTTCTTATGCCTATTCTTATAGGCTATTTCCGATCAAAGGTAAGTGCTGTCACATGTATATTCAATAAATAACTGCTTTTGAATGCCAAATTTAATAGGAATCTAATGTACAACTGTTAAGTAGTCACTCTTGTGCTGTGTTATGCAAGACTAATTCCTTTAACAGCATCAAATCCTTCTCTGATTTTCTCATTCACTTTAAGTATATATACAGCCAGTGTTCTTTCTGTTCTTCTTTCCTGTCAGAGATTAGTAACATGATTATCAGCTATTTCCCCATAGTAGGGTGGAAAGAGAATTAGCAGGGTCAGGGCCAACTTAAAATAATATTAACAGAATTCATATTTTTCTAGGGTCAGGTTTCTGGCACTTTGTCATTGTCTCTGTGGCTAGCACACAGAGAGCTAGAAGTCACAAGGTGACAAAAAACAAAACTAAAAACTACCCTTTCAGCCAAACAAACTGTGACCCGACTGAAAGGGGCTCTTCCTTAATGTTAAACCTTAGTGTCAGACGTTGGAAATTCACCAGAAACTCCCCAGCGATGTTAAACTTACTGGTATCAGTGCTAAGTGAAACCCAGCCAGACCAATTCAATAGAAAATACTGTAAAATGACCGTGACCAGGTTTCAGTTCACTTTTAAATTCAGACAGAGCAGACAGTGAATTTAAAAACATAAAAAAAAAATAAAAAATATCTGGAAATAAAAAAACAAATTAAAAAAAAGCAACTTCCTGTAATTCCTGTGAAGAGAGGGTGGGAAAGGATTACACTGAATTGAGAGAACAAGAAATTCAAAATTTCCCAGAAGGACAAGGAAGAAAAATTTGCTGTACAAGCAGGGAGAGGAAGAGGAGTCAGAAGGGAGGAAATGAGGAGGAGAAGGCATTTACTGGAGAAAAAGAAAAGGTTTGATCCTGCTTGTCATAATTTTTAAACCATTACACACACACTACAGATGCAGCTGCAGATTCTGAGGAACTAATAGTTTCACTGCAATGGAGGCAAAACTCTGGACAAGATCCAACTTGAAACTCTTTAGATAGATAGATAGATCTGTCTGCTCGCGCCGGCGCCGGATGTAAGATGTAAGAATTTATGTGTGTTTCTGGGATTACTGTTTCTGTATCCTGAGTAGCGTGTACATGTTTGTGTGTGCTGTACCTCCAGGCAGGCCAGATGAACGTCTTTGATTATACAGTGGTTTCCAGACAGCACAGACTGCTTTAGTAAGAGGCAGCTCAGCTCCAGTGTAGCTAGGCGCACTTTACCATCTACACACACACACACACACACACACGCATAAATATATAAATAGGTAAGGAGGATACATTACTGAAGTTCCGCACAGGCTCAACAAAGCACAGTTAACATGGAATAATGTGTACAATGATAATGATAATGTCTAATATGGAATTAATGGACCAGAATGTGTTCATGAAACGTTATATTTCAATTCACTTACACAACTTCTTCTAATACATACTGTGTTCATACAGACTGTGTTTATACAGACTGTGTTTATACAGACTGTGTCCATACTCGTACGTTTTTGTTCAGTTTGTGGTATGGAACAGCATGTCAAATAATTTCATATTCATCACACGGCTGTGCTCAGTAATGGGTATTCAAACTGGAATTCAACTGAGGGAATGGCTTTTATTAGTAATTTAGATAACTAAAAATGTTACGATCCAAAAGGCAGGTGACGGTGGGTGTGCGTTACCTGGCTGTGCCGCCACGCTCATAACTCTGATCAGTCTCTCGACCAGCACCAGGCTGTAGGAGCTCCTCTCCTGGTCAGGAACTGGCAACTGCAGGCGCTCCAGAAGATCTCGGTTTATACCTACAGACAGACAGGCAGGGAGACAGGCCAGGTAAGGAAGAAGTTGCATGGAGATATGGGCACATAAACATGAATACTGTGATGTTATAGCTTAAAAAACATTCCTAACAATGTATATCTCTGTTTTAGAGAGCTGTTGATTTAACTGTAAGGTCACTTTGAAGGATGTAGCTTGCGGTGCTATGGAACTGCGTTATAGAGAGGTTCTGTTATTTAGCCTACTCTCATTGATATAAATGGAAACTAAATAGTAAAAACATCTGTCAGTTAGGGCTGCACAATATTAATAATTATTGTTTTTGCAATCACAATTTTAAATTAATTAATTGTAAATGATTGTTTTTTGGGGTCTGTACCAAACAAACATGTTTTCTTAGATCTCTAGAACATTTATAGGCCAGGGGATCTCTGCAGCACTATGGTATTTAATCATAAGCGTTTTTTGACACACATTTTACCTTTAAACTGCAGCTTCTTGAGATCTGGATATTGCACTTAGCTAAACTGCGATTAATTGTGCCACCCTACTCTATAACACAACACACTTTAACAACACCACAAACTACACCCCCCAGAATTATCATAAAACTGAATCAACACCTCCTTAAAACAATTTCAACAAAAACTTACTCACAACTTCATGAAGGTAGGATTTATTGCAGGACTGCTGTGTTCGATTGCATTCGTTTTAGCTAGGTGTACCTAATATGATGGCAAATTAGTGTATATTGAAACTAATTTGTTTAGATATAAAGTAGGAAATGAACAGTTCTCTGCCAGAAACAGAAATAAACCATATGTATTCAGTTCTCTGGGTTGAGTCCTCTTTTTAGAGATATAAGCATCTGTGCAAGGCATATATGGACCTCAGATATGGATACCAGTTAACTTCATTTACCTGTGTACATTTACATGTGTATAAATGATAAGAAAGGCCAACCTTTGCTGTGTGAGACAGCGTAAAGCAGGCAGAGGACAAACAGGGCGTGGTAGTCATCGTTGGTGCAGTCGAGAGCACTGTACACCATGTCTAAGAACGGTCTGCAGAGAGAGAAAATATCATAAGTACATACATTCTGTCTTTCTTTTTATTCATTCTTTCCACTTCCAGACCAATCTAATAGTTCGGCGTGTTCAGATATGTGTGAACATGTACCTGCTCCTCTGTGTGTGTGTGCGGGTGGCTGCAGCAGTTTTCTCTTCATCAGTGATGTTCTGCTCCGTCAGCTCTGACACCTTACACTTCTCCATTACCACCATCTCTATCTCTGTGTGCACACACATCATATACTTTGTACTTAATTACATAAATGTCCATACATGTAAAGTTTTTTTTTTTAGTCCATATTGTTCACATTCACATCACACAGCCTAAACAAAACACACACATCATAGTTATGAAGAAAAATGTCACCAGTGATAATGAATGCAGAATCTAAAGTGCTTCCTTCTCACTCTTCACCGGTTCATGATAAAATGTGTTAAAACAGCAAAAATAGACCAATCATGCCATCAGTGTCTGCTTACTGTTGACGGGAGAATGAAATATTCATTTTCAATGCATAAAATCTACTATTTGATGTTAAGTATGTATAATGCAAGGAATATTTCAACCAATGATCTTAAGTAGTCATTTAAGTTACCATCTATCCATCAAAAGGTTTTATCACTCTTTTTTTATCGATCAGTTAAACTGGGTAGGTGTTGTTTTTCCACCCCAAATGGTACATGTGTCATTTTGAAACCATCTGTTCCCCAGCAGCCCACGGTGCCTTTAGTGTTAAAACCCACTTGAGAAACACTGAAGATGTACAAAGACTATCTGCAAAAAAAGTGTCTTTTCAGTCAAAGTAGAGAAGGAATCATTTCAGATTTTATTTTATTTTTTTTTTTTTTTTACTTAAAACACACACACTCAGATTCTAACACACACACATGCACACAGAGCAGGAGTGAGAGACAGGCGGAGAGGTGAGGAGCACAGGATGGATGGTGTGTCACCGTGGGAATGGACAATTGGCTGCCATGGAGATTGTGTTGGACATGTGATAGGTGGTACCATGGGGAAAATGAAAAGGTGCCAAAACAGGGGAAGCAGCTGAAAGAGGGAGGCCTCATCTCAAAACTAGCCAAAGAGGAATTCTGGATTAAATTTACTTTCTTTCTGCCTCAACTTTGACATTTGTTCTGTTTTAATTACACTCTTCCTTTTTTAGGAATCATGCCTTAACTAGAGAAATGTCTTACTTCTGTGCAACAGGCAGAATAGTCTAGTATGAATTTGGCAATAAATATTAAATGCATGAAGATAACAGCAGCAAGTTGTGCACATGTGTTGAATTAAGCGCCCAAAATGAAAAGCAAAAAAGCAGAGCACATTTACAGTAAAAGCTAAGCTGCTATCATCTGTTTAGTTATTCTCTCTGTTGAAGAGTTAGTCACTCTCTTTTCCGTTTGGAGACAAGGGCTGCTGCTGTAGTGGCTGTTGGGTAACCAAGGTGCATCATGGGAGACTGTGTCTGATTGATGGGAGTAAAGAAACACTCACAAACACAGTCCTGTACTGCTGTGTCCAATGAGACACACACTCACCTTCCGCCGTCTCCCCACTCGCTCTGCTTCCCTTAGAACTCCCTCCTACTCCCTCTGTACCTTTTCCCTTCTCCCTCTCTCGGCCTCCCTCCCTCTCTCCTCCTCTGCCGTCGTCGTCCCATCCCTCCTCTCCTCCTCCTCCGCTGCCTCCTCCCCCAGCCCTTTCATCATCTTCCTCCTCGCCCAGGTTCTTGTAGTTTGGCCTCTTCTGAGTTCTCTTGCGGCCGCGGTGGCGGGACAGCTCCAGAGAGCGCTCCAGAGACTCTGGGGGCTTGGTGAACCGACGCACACCTCCTGCACTGGCCTAGGGGGTTGGAGAAGGACAGAGAGTAAACAGAGAGGCAAGGGTGTGAGAAGGGAAGACATCACAGTGAAGATCATGGAGCAATCACTCGATCAACTCTACATTATGTCGAAGTCCTTTTTGGTGATCATGAAATAACAAAAGTATTTTGTTATCATGTGCTTTCAAAGACGTTTTTGGTTCAAATGAAGCAGCGGCGGTTCTGTGACTGAATACAAAAGGCAGATAATAGTTCAAAACAAGTGAGAAAAAGCCAATTGGAGGGGTGTATTCAGTCAGGTGGCCAGATAAGAAACCGTCCTGTTTCCAGAAAGCAATATCAGTGTAACGCCTTACTGGTAGATGTGCATGCAAAAAAAAAAAAAGACACACATGAACATGCATTACAACACATAGCATACACACACACACACACACACACATTTGCAAACTGATGTGGCTATATCTTCTCAGACATGCACACAAACACAGAGCCTTACAGTAAATCCTTCTTGCACTATCTTGTTGGTCAAAGTCTGTTAACACGCACAAACCACTTCCTCCCTGATAAACTTGATAAGAATAGAGGAGAAACTGACCACTTGGCACAAAAGCACACAAACGCATACACAGTTGATCGGTGGCTTTGAGACCCCTTCTGTGAAACCAAACTGGAACTAGGCGAAACGCACTTCTCACACATAGCCATACAACTGACACAAAAATGTAGATATGCACACAAGAGGAAACAGCTGGTACATGATAAGATGCTGAGCAAAGATGGCAACTTACAGTAAAACTGGGTAACCATAATGACGATAAATACTACTATTAATAATTCCAACAATAAAATTTATTACAAGTTGTCAAAGATTAAAATGTGTTTTAAGTGTTTGTTTCAGATTAAGTCAACCCTATTTTGAGGCTATTACCGCCTTAGCTACTCATTTCCACAGAATCGAGTCTTTTTAACCCTTCCTGTAGCCAGCAATACTTAAAACTGTTAGTTGTATTATCTGTCCGTAACACTGTAGCTGCTGCTAAAAACAGTGTGTACCCTGTCAGAAATACACCACAGACTAGTATAAATGTATAAATGTATATGTGTATATGTTTGTGTGTGTGTTGTGTGTTTGTGGTGTGTGTGTCGGCGTGTGTGGTGTGCCGTGTGTGTGTGTGTGTGTGTGTGTGTGTGTTGCACCTGTTAGCTGACTATGTTCTGGTAAACCGCTCACACTGAGCCTATGCTGAGAAATTAATGGAGGTCAGGGAGCATGTAAGGCAAACCTACACACATGCTCAGACAAACCACTGCACAAACACACCTAGCAGCACATCAAAAGAGGGCACCGTTTGCAGCTCAAAGATATATATGCACATAACTTAAACAGCTGCATGTGCTTTGGAGAAAAACATACTTGAACAGAAATGCATATGTTGACATCATATACGTATCTAACTGGTGCACTTGCAAGTAAAACATTTTTTTTTTTTTTAAAAAGAGAGAGAGAGAGAGAAAAAAAACCCCACAACACTTCTTCCAGGAAAGAGATTTGGGTTAGGTGAGCCAGCCCTGTCACTGTTCCATCATGTGACCTAATTTCCTGCCACTTCATAGACAAACAGGAAGTACCATTTGACCACCTGCACAGAAACACAGGCCATGCCTCATCTTCTGTTTGTGTTTCAACTACAATAAATCACACAATAACACGACAGCAGTTCTATCTGATGTGGCGGAAGCAATTCATATCCGTAGTCCAACGTGCACCTAAAAGAATGGTTCTCTGCAACTTTTTTATCTTCATTCAGGAATTGTCAGGAATTGTCATGGGCTTTTTCAAAAAAGGAAACATTGTGCAAAAACACAGCTGTCCTCTGTGCCTGCAGACACGCAGAATGAACAAACCCATCAATTTGAACATAGGTATGAGCACATTCAAGCTACGAACGAGGACACAAAGATAGACGCATCACTACAGGTTAAATGCAAGTGAATAACACCATCTGAAGTAGTAAGTTGTCTTTGATTTAGAATAAGAAAACCTGATTAAACAGAGAATACTAATTCAAGTTAAAGTCACTGTTGAATTCTGTGGTGCCTTTGAGGAAGGCAAACCATCAAAGTCCCTGCTGTGCTGTGAGCTGATCAGTGGCAAAAAAAAAAAACCAACAACACAGGAACTAGCACAGAAAATGAGCAGGATTACTGGTCTAAAAAAGTCACATGACATTTCACTGACATCTGCAGTACATATACTTAATCTTTTACAAAGTGCAACATGCGTTTTAAAAAATGCAACACGTGGCACTTTTTGACGTTCACAAAATGCAGCGACAGAGAAAAGCACTGCTGAATGAACAGCTGGCAGGTAACTAGTTTGGGTCTGGTTGCCTGCTGTTGTGGTAGACCAACACCGTTAAGACATCACACCTCTTCTCACATTCACTGAAAAGGTAGGCCGCTTCTTACAACAGCCACAGGTCTAGCGTGCACACACACACACAGCACAGAGAATAACCACAAGGGTTCTCAGAAACGCTCACTACCTCATCACACCCACCTGGCTTCAAAAACAGATGGTCAAAAAAAATCAAGAAGAGGGAGGGGTGGTGGGGGGGTGGGGAAACCAAATCACGAGAAGAAGAAAATGGGAGGAAGAGAGAAATGAGGGGAATCAGATGGGGAAGATGAGGGGGAGGCAAGGGGGAGATAGACAGAAAGACAAAGTAAAAAGGGAAATAACATAAAGGCTCAGATGTAAATACAAAGAGCCGATGAGAGAACAACGCAAGAACAGACAGGAGGTTTCAATCCAAGGCTTAGATGGGAAATAGAAATAAGGGAGAGAGAGGTTGAAAAATGTAAAGAAGAAAAACAATGTCGGTAATTTGCATACTGCTGCCTTGATGTGGGTGAATCATGGAGAAAACCATGACCCTGCGATCTCATACCACCCTACACGCACCTTCTGGAACCAAGTCTTTGTGTGTTGTGTGTGTGCATTCATGTGTATTCATGTGTATTCATGTGTATCTACGCGCATGTATCCATGCGGTTGCTGGAGCAAGTATGCTTGTGTGCTGTACTCCCAAGTAAGTGTGTGTGTGTGTGTGACTCTGTATCGCAACTTGCAGTCTGCTGTGTGTGTCCATATTGCACATCAGTGGTTTTTTAATTCTGTGAGTGGTGTTTATTATTGTGTTTCTGGTATGCATGCTGGTTTGTACTGTGTGTGTGTGTGTGTGTGTGTGTGTGTGTGTGTGTGTGTTAGTGTGTTACCGTGTTCTTGTGAGTGCTGTGTATATCTGTCTGAGGGGTGAAGACAGATAGGTCTCCATTGAGAATGACGTCAGCCAGGGCGTTGACCATTGGTTGATAGTGGATGATCAGGAACACCTACAGAAACAGATATACACGATTAGGAAAGTAATCAGTGACAAAAATGTCTCCTAAAACAAGAACGGTTCTTTGAAAATCAAATGGAGCATGTATAAAAGTTTGTCCACTTTACAAACAGAGTAAGCCTCCAAAAATACAGATATGGCTGCCTCCCACTAAGTAACCTGCTCATTCAAACGTGTTCATTGGACAGGTTTACCTTGAATGGGAAAGTAAAGCAAAGGTAAAACAAATCTACAAACAAGCTGAAACTCAAAGTTTACTCTTTTCTTATTCCATGTTTAACACATTTCCTGAGGGATTAACCTATATGATAAACTGACGTTTTATGTGGATGTCCAATTAGTTTTGATGGGAAATGTAGTCATTTGAAGCAATACATTTCTCAGTGCTTGCTATACTGTCCGAGAAAGGCTTTTTGTCTTTATTCGACAGGAAAGCTAAAGGGTAAGTGGAAAGGAGCAGAAAGAGGGGATGACATGTAGCAAACTAACTGATTGAGGCAGCAGTAAACCAGAAACCTCCGGGTTCTGCAAGGAAAATTACTGCATTTGTTAAAAGGAGTCTGGCGGCTATGAAGAGACCAATAAAACAACTTAAATTCCTCGTCAGACAGGGCTGTCTGATAACAAGGTAAAGAAGTGAAAACATTCTAAATAAAGAGTACATTTAAGATGATATAGATTTTTTGGGTGGGCATTTTTTAGGTGACTAAAATACGTTGTTCTGCTGCCCCCGTCCACAGCAGTGCTTTGCTTAGCTTCCATGCCGGTACTTTTACCCGCCTCTCCAAACTGGGGCTGTGCTAACTGCCATTTACTGACTATGGATAAGTACCTTATACAACCCAACTTCAAAAAATCCAACCACACAACTAAAATATACCAGTGCTTTGGTGACGGTAGCGTCTGATGAGCATGTGTGCGTTTTACTTACTTGAGACAGCAGGTAGAGGGACACCTGAGGGTTGATCTTTCGATCTTCAGACTAAAGAAACAGAAAAATAAAAGGCCAGTTAAGGTCAGATAGTTAGCAGTTTTATAGCTAGTGGGAAGCAAGAAAAGAAAAATGCACAATGAGATTAAGGAGGAGAAAGTGAAGGGACAAAGCAGAGAGCTGAAACAATTTAATAGTCTGATAATCACAATTCATTTAGACATTCAGGTGAAGGTAACATACCATCTCGGGGCTAACCAAAGAGTAGACATAGAGGGGCAGGAACAGGCGATTAAGGAGGTGGTCGGTCAAAACGTCATTGAGGAATTCACAGTTGATGATGAGAATATCGTTCAGGTAGTGGAGGTGATCAAGGTGCTCCGCTACCAGGTCACTCAACTTTCCTCTGTTCTTATGTCTGGGACACAACAAAGAGAGGCAGAGAGAAAGAGGGGGACGTGTTATTTAGGTAGGCGAAGTGGTCAAAAATCAAACACCTTCAGGCATGAAAAACTTATGGTATACATGCTTTACTGTATATTTTTTAAATGCATATCTGGGCAGAACTTTCACATTTTTTTTCAAATTGCACATCATTAAGTTGGCCAAACTTTGAAAAAATAATATATATTTATATATTACAGTGAGGGTAATATATCATAGCTCCTGGGTGATTTTTTTATTTGTGTGGCAGGGCTGTGTAGAATTTCTTTTAAGCTTTAACACAAATGGCATCTTCGTGTATGTGTAGATCCACATAGATACTATGACACGGGAATACAGTGGGAAAAAAACATTTTAACTTTAAACTTAAAAAGGAAATTCCCAGGTGGTACAGTGAGTAAGTAAGTTGCAATATATTTTATAATGCAGTGTATACAATGTATTTTGCTCTTTAATAGAAATGAGCACAGTTACAAATCAAAAACAAGCCTGACCACTTGAGGCTGCAAAGAGAATTACACTGAGGAAAAACTGAAAAAAGAGAGATGGCACTTACTCTTCATCTGTCTGCACGCACTTGTCCAGCTCAATGACATGGCTGCCAATAAACCAGACCAAGTTGCTAAAATATGGGACTGCTGTCTTATCTCGGATGTAGTGCAGCATGTGCTGGTTGTCCACTGGGGAGATCAAGAGCTGGATTAGGTTTGTTACAAAGGTTGCCCACACGTATTGAATACACACACACACACACTCACTCACACATACTCAT